ACGCTCCGGCCCAAGCCTCCGGCGACGGGCCTCTGCTCTGCTAGGGCAGAAGCTGGTTGCAAATGAATTTGGATCACAACTCAACAGTGGTCAAGCTGACGAAGCAATGCAGCAACGTCATACTCCACAAGCTCTCAGAAAAGAAGGATCCGGTGTGTCCAACGATCAGCTGCTCAATCAGGGCACAGCAGTTCGACCAAGCTTTGTATGACCTTGGAGCAAGTGTCAGTGTCATGCCCAACGACGTTTTTGACAAGCTCAACTTCACGGTGTTGGCACCAACACCGATGCACCTGTAGCTGGCTGATTCGTCGGTCCGTTACCCGGCAGGGATAGCGGAGGATGTGCCGGTCAAGATACGGGATTTCTTCATCCCGTTTGATTTCGTGGTGCTGGATATGGACACGGGAAAGGAAACGCCGCTGATCTTGGGGCGTCCGTTCCTTAGCACTGTGGGAGCCAACATTGATGTGGGAACGGGAAGTATCTGGTTCCATATTAACAGGAAGGAAGAGAAGTTTGAGTTTCAGCCAAGGACTGAACACTTATCCATGGTCAGAATCAAGTACAGGCCAAACCCGCAAAACATCCAAGTGGTCGAGGTGGAGCCACCCAAGACGGACAGCCTGGTGAAATTCATGCAGAATTTTTTGGAGAAGGAAATAGTGATTCCCATAAACCGTTATTGGAAGACGCCGGTAAAAGCCAGTAAACCGGTCAAGAAGCTAGAGCAACCGGCTTAGAGGAAGCCGTCTCCCGCACCAAAACCAAAGAAGGTGTGGAGGGAAAAGCCAAAGACGCCCGCTCCATCACCTCCGGAGACGAGTGGAAAATCCGCGAACTAAACTGGAAGGAGGTGCGGTCTTGCATGTCGGACCCAAAATGACGCGACCATCGCTAACAGGAAAATTGGTATGTATCCGCATATTTATTTTCAACAATTTAAATTTTTGCATCAACACATGTTTGAATTTCAAATTTGCATTTAGGATTTTGAATTTTGAGGAAATTCTCTCAAATGAATTTTCAGAGCAAATCAAAATAAAATTTTCAACGAAAATTCATTGTGCCACGACCACACTGACCGTTGGAACCCAAGGGCCGAAAGTGGGGCCAGTTGGGCCGACCAAGGGTTCAGCCGAACACCCTGGTTCGGCCAAACCGGCCAGGCAATGGTTACCTGCCACTTTTGGCAGGGTAATGGCTAGTGAGTCCCACATACCATTTCTGACCGTTGTGGGTGCCCTATTTAAGCCAGCCGGCCGAGAGAGGGAATTCCACCCCATTTCAACACATTTTCATTCCCTCTCCAAAGTTTGCTCTCAAGTTCATCCAAGCTTTCATAGTTTTCCCTCAAATTCATACACTTAGTTGCATACATACAAGTTGCTTTGGTGAAAACTAACTGGCGAGTGAAACTCTTGCTATTCTAACCCCCGCCGAGTTAGTCTGTTCTGTCTCCATTGTGCAGAATGAGGAGGCGATTGTCTCGTCTGTTCAAGTCTCATGACAAGTCTAGTGCTTGTTTATCAGTATTGATATTTCTTACGATCACAGATAGAATCCGCAAGCGCATAGATATACCGATGTAGCACTTCCCCTACGGAGTATTCCAAGGGTATCGAATCCAAGGGAACGTGTTGATTATCTCTTCCTCCGGTTCGTCCAAGGACACAAGATAAATATGGGCAAAGGGTAGAGAGGATTTCCTAGTGAGAAACAGTTTCTAAGGAAAGCTTAAGTTTCATCCTAACGCGATATTTCAGACACTGGCAACCCGCTGTTCCCAGATGTCACTCTACTACGTACCCGGACAGGGAGGACTTAAGTGCTCTCGAGGGCTGTCACCACCTCTACACCTACCTCTAACGTACTGTGGGATACGCAACAACCACTGAAAATTAATTACCCAGACACCACGTCTACGCAATTAATTACTACTCTAGCACTGGCCAAGCACTAAAGCAAACACTATATAATTAATGGACTATAGTGAACAATGATCCCGTATGCTAATTAGGAACTAACCAAGAATAATTCTCACTAAGCAAATCTTAATTACTCAGAATGATATTTCTATTGAAGCAGAGTAATTACCAAAGTACAAGAATAAGGAGAGGATTACTGACAACTCTGGGATTCCTCCGACTTATTCTACTTCACTCTCTCCCTATTCTAAGTATACTATAGAACATGTAAAGAAGCTAAAGCATACTTAGAGCCTCTTGTAATTCAGCTCTACATCTTGGTGTGTGTCAAATGAGGGAGAGGAGAGGGGTATTTATAGTGTGGAGCTTGCTTGGGAGTGTGGAGATCCTCCATGGCATCCAATGAGCGTATTTACTCTCCTCATGCCAAGTGTCCATTTGGATGACGGTTGGAGCGCCGGAAACGGTCATAACCGTCATTGGGAAGCAGTTATCTACCGAACTGGACTTGGGCCGGGGTAAACGGCCTCTGCCAGGGTTTGGCCGAACTCAGGGGTTCGGCTGAACCCGGGACGGCTCCGTTCGCTCCGGTTTTCATCCTGGACACTCATTTTGGGCCCCCCCCAATTCATTGCTATGAATGTTTGGCCCATTTGGACGTGTTTAATTGGGTTTATGGGTCCAAAACTCCTTAAGTTTGAATACGAGTTTGATTCTTATCCTCCTTCATGTATATTTCTTCTCAACTTTGGTAGTTTGTCACCTGCATATGAATATACACCAACACTCGTGGAAACTGTTAGAAATAAACCCTACCACTTTATTGGATGTTCCATGTTTATGGTCTTATGCAAATATTGACGGCGTTAATTTGGTACTTAACAGTCGTCAACAATCAGTTGATGTCTCGATGGAGGACGCCGATGCTCCGCGACGTCTCCTGAACAACACTGACCTAGACCATGTCGACGATCGGGAAAGACAAGCCTACTACATGCTGAGTGACCGGGAGTATGCTCACACGCGAGAATACTCTTCGGAGCTGCTGAAAAAGATAGGTATGGATATTGATTTTCGTGCTATTTGGAAAGCTGTTGGTTGGCAGAGATTTGCTGTGGTAGATGAGCCTGGTTCTCATTTGCTTACTTTGCAATTTCTGTGCACTTTGAAAGAAACAGAAGATAGAATATCCTTTCACTTTTTCCATAAGGAATATACACTTACATGGAAAGGATTAATTAAATTCTCCATGATTAATTATGCTATTTGGAATATTTATGGAATTTTCAGAACTTAATTGCTCATTTTGATAATACAAACATCATTTCAACATTTATTTAAATAAAAATCTTACTTTCTCTCTAGGCCATTTTCAGCCCATTTTATTCTTCAGCCCGCTACCGAGCCGGCCCGCTTCCCTCCTTTCTCCTCCCATCCGCCTCAGTCCACACACTTGTCCGGCCCAGAAAGAAGTCTAACTGTGGTCCCCCTACTTCTCCTCTCACTGCCATATGAGCCCCAATCTAAAGTCTAATTTAAGTTTTTGTTGGGCCGGCTGACCTACGTGCGGCCCATGAAGCGCGCGCAGCCCAACACTGATGCGGACCGATGATGGAGGCCGGCCCGACGCGGGAGCGATCTGAGCCGTTCGTTTTGATGGATGGCTCAGATCGACTCCTAATCCATCAAAACCCCCAACCCAAAATAAACCCTAACCCTAATTTCATTCTTCCCCTTCCTCCCCTCCACGCAGGCCGCCTCTCTCCTAGCAGGCGGCCGCGCCACACCCCTACCGGCGCACCTCTCAGCGTCCCCCCCCCCAACCGGCGATGCCTCTAAACACACCTCCCCCACCGCCGACGCTTCTTGCCCCCCTCCCACCGGCGGCGCCTCTCCGCCCCCCTCTCCATCGAGCAGTGGCGGCGGCACCCTTCTGTAACATCCTGAAATTGTGTCATTTTCTAATCTTTCATCATGCTAATTCTTATGTTTTTAATAACCTTCTGAACCTAGGAAAATATAATTAGCGGGACCTCCTAAAACTAACTTGTATAAAAACCTCTATGGTATTTAATCTCTTTTGTGTATTTCATTTAAAAACATATTTGGTATTTCTTGTTGGAATTCTATTTTCGAATATTAAACCTTCTTTCGACTAAAACTCTTTTATTTAAATTTAGTTTGAAAACCATTTTTACTATAATGAATTATGGTCCAAGAAATCCTCCAATTTTACCCTTGAACTTAGACCAAAGTAATTCCAATTTCATTGGAATTAATTGTTAATCCATCCTTTGATTTTAAACCCATCCTTTGATTCTCGATCCAAATATCCAAATTCCTCCTTTTGATCTAGCTACCAATTTAATTTCTATGGCTTGATTTCCTCTTTGGCACAAGAATTATATTATTGCAAATATTGTGAATAATTGCTCTTGTGCTAAGAAAATTCCAACTTATACTCTTCACTCAACTTCCCCTTTTAGCCACAAATATACATAACACCAATTTTAGAGTTCAAATCCTATTTATTGCCTTCAATTAATTCCCTTCTATATTCCCAAAAATATTTGAGGAATATTATTAATTTCCCTTCCTATTTGAGTGCTTCAAAATAAATTCCCTCAAACTCCATCTCTAAAGATTGCACTCAAATAAATTAAGAAATCTCTTTTGTGAATTCTTTCCGAATTCAAATTCTTTCCAAATTTCAAATTCTTTGCGAAACCTAGTTATCCAAATCAAGTATTCAAATTAGACTTCTTTCTTTTTGTTATCGGGCCGAAACTTCTTTCTTTCTTCCGTTTGGCCCAATCCTTTTTCTATTTTCCTCCTCCCTCTTGGGCTGCCGGCCCAGCTAAGCCAAGCCAGCCCAAATCAGCCCACAGGCCACAGCCGAACCGCCTTTCTTCTCCCAGTGCACGTGTTGCGCACGGCGCACGCCGCCGCAAACTCTTTTCCGTAGCTGCTAAGAAATCGGCGTCGTCATCCTCCTCCCGACGCCACTGCCGCCGCCGTGTCCTTCTCGATCTCCTCCTCCGAACCGACCTCCGAAGCCTATAAATACCGGCGAGCCCGTCCTTTCTCCCCCACACATCGAGCTTGAAGCTCTTTTCCTTCTCTCTCCTGGCCGTGTCCGGCCATTGCCACCATCATCGGCCGATTTCCCTCGTTGGAGCATTGCCGGCCAAACCCTCGCGCCACCGGGCTTTCCTCGACGAGGTGAACCCATTTTTCTTGTTTTCCCTCTCCCTTTGCCATCCTATAAGCCACTCTAGCCACTTCATTTACCGGCCGGAGCTAAGCTCCTATTCTCACCGTTCCGGCCATCTCCCTCTCCCTCTCTCCCAACCACTACCCTCCCCGGGTGCGCGTCGCTCGGGAACACCACCCGCCGCCGGCGTCTCCGCCTTCCAGCTGCCGGAAAGCCGGCGCCCCTCCTCCCTGTCCTCCCTGTCTACCCGTGCTAGAAGAGAAGAGAAGAAGAGAGGAACGGGAGGAAGAAGGAGAAAAGGAAAAAGAAAAGATACTGAGAGGTGGGCCCCTGCACAGTACTATTTCCTATTTAATTGCAAATTCAATCTTTAGAAGCCCATATCTCCTAAATCATAGATCCGATTCCAGTCAAATTTGGACCTAAATTCATCTAAATTCAAAATATACATTTTAATATCAAATTTGTTATTTTAATATTTTATTTGAATTTCCTTAATTTATTCAAATACCATTTGAACAAATATTTGATTTAATATTTTAATTGAATTTCCAATTTAAACTTAGATTTGCCCTTCAAATATTTTCTTTTATTTCCAAAATACCCTTTAGCCACTAAAAAGCCACCGGTTGGAACTTTACGCCTTCCATGGGGACGTTTGTGTGGTCTACAAGCCTTGATGCGTTTTGTGGTCGGAGCTTCACTATCCCCTCGACCTCCACCCGCACAGTTAGCTCTCGGGCTCTGTGTGATCCTAGCTGCTCCGCCGCCACTCACGGTTGTCGGAGTAACACTACCACCCCACTAAACCTGCACCCACCTCCTATTCTTCTAGCCGATATGCTATCTATTGACACCGGCTAGAGAAGATACCAAATCTAGTCGTTATACTGCCCAACTCTAGCAACGACTAGCAAACACCCAAAACCCTAGCCGATGCCTTCTTAGTTAAATTCCAGTAACCATCCAAATCCCAATACCCAATAAAAAGGAGATATTTACACCCCAAACCTAGCCCTTCTCGCTCTTTATCGCTTTCTTACTATTTCATGACTTTTATTGAATTTGGTTCTTCCTCTTCTTCGGTAGAATCTATTGTATTTTGGATGGCAACCTGTGGTATCGAGGATCGGATAATCAGGTTGCCTATCTTGGATTTAATTGCGTTCGAGCAAGGCAAGATATTCTATATATTTATTCTATGCATTAGCCATTCATGATTTTGAATGCATAACCTGAACATATAGCAAACTAATTATATGTTAGCTTTTGCTTAACCATGCCTAGTTAGATTGCATAAAATATAATGAACTTAGATTGGAACATTACGGTAGAAATGGTTGATTTCCAAGTGGCTAGTACTGTTCCAACCAACATAAGATTGCCAAGTACATGTGAAGAACATACGTGTACGACCGCAATTCTCGTATGGGCACAACCGCAATTCTCATATGGGCATACACCTAACTGATTAAGTTATCTAGCAAAGGTGGTTCTTATGTAAGTCCTCGCGAAGGAGGCAAACTTATGACGAGAAGGGCAAATGTGATATTTACCGAGGCGCAGGTAAATATCTTGATTATCGCGCGATGTGTGTGTGATTTTATGGAAACCTGGTTGAGATGACATGGGGTCTCTAATCCAGTTCTCTCTGAAAAACCTCGGGAACACCAGAACTCCTCTCGCTGCTGATAACGTTACGTTCAGAGCGCATGGGGACTAGAGTTCATGGAACAGATACCACTGATGTTAGTGACCGAAAAGCTTTGCCATGACAAGGCTAATGTGTTTGGCACGTCATGGATTGCGGGTAAAGCGTACATCTACTACAGTATGAATATTCTTAAAGCTATTCGAATAGGCGTGCTCGCGGTTATCGGGCATTGGGACTCACTATGGCATCATGGATAGAAACCTAATTCGAAATTTTATTAAATACTGTTGCATTTAAAATATTACAAGCTTTCTCCTTCTACTTTCTCAGCTTTCTGCAATTAAACCTAGCTCCACTCAGATACTATTTCATACATTCATACTTGATGCAATAGCTTGCTGAGTACGTTGTACTCACCCTTGCTTCAACCCCTCTTTTTCAGAGTCTAATTGGAGTTTTTGCCGAAGCTGGGAGTTCAATCAAATAAGTTAGTTTCCTTTAAACCTAGTCTTCAAGTCTAATATAGTTAGACGGTTTAATTCTATAGTAAAACAACATAGTTGGGTCATCGTATAGCTTCTGTGGTAGTAGTTAGCCACAAACTTTTAAATGTCCTCTTATTTTATATAAAGACATCTCCTTCGGAGCCTTGTTCAAATGTACGCAATGAAGATCCAGATTGTTGAACCTGTATCAATCTACTGATCCAGGGCTTGATACAGTTTTAATATGTCGGTTTCCGATTCATTAGTTTTGGGATCCGACACCTTCTCCCCCACAAGCGGACAGCTGCGCCCTGCCCTCCCGCAAGCGGCGGCAGCGGCGCCCTGCCCTCCCACAAGCGGCAGCGGCAGCACACTCCCTCGCAGCGAGCGGCTGTGGCAGCGTGGCGATGGTGGCGTCGCTCCCTCTCCCTACCGCCGGCTCCTTCTCTCTTCGTCAGGCAGTGGCCGCCGCACCACTCTCTCGCCAGATCCGGCGGGCCGACGGCGAGGTGGCGAGGAGCAGCGTGCTGCAGCCTCCGATCCGGCTCTCCCCTCCCTCTCCTCTCGTCATCTCACGTTAATATATGATGTTTTCTGATGATTCCGATTTAGATTTGGACTGGGATTTTGTGTTTGATTTGGATTTGGATTGTGATGATTTGAGATTTGGAGAGAAGGTGTGCTTAATGTGGGATTCTATTTGTGTGATGATAGAATTCCGACTGGGATTTTGGAGGGGGGGGACGAAAAATCACCGTATGGAGGAGGTGAAGAAAGGAAAAATACGAATATTTATATTAGTTATAGATATCAATTTCACTTATACGTTAACAACAATGACGAAAATTACTTCACGTCAAAAACAATCAATTATATATTTCAAAAAAATGATAACTGATTCTTGACGTACGTACATCAATGCTGCAAGGCCAAATTCAACTGAAATAAGTCGCATGATTAGTTTATTTAATAAAATGCTAGCATTGTGCTTGGTTCATATCTCGTATATTATCACAGCATGAATCTTGGAAGGGATCAAGTGATAGAGAAATCGATTGTAACTAAGCGAAAAATTTGGCGACGGTATTTTAGCAAATGTTCTGAACCTAACTTTAATTTTTATATAGTCTCCAATTAAACTATTTGTCCTACCACATCAGACAAAAGTGTTCTTGGGAGGCTGCTACAGATCGGACGTCCGATCTTGTGGAAATCATCGGACGGTGTTGCACCGTGCTGTTGAGGGATGTTTCACATATTTCATCTCTTGATAAAAATTATTTCAATAAAAATGTTTAACTAGCAAAGAAAAATTTCGGTGCTTGAGCAAAATTGTTTCATCCAAATCAATAGTTGAACATATTGATTGTAACACTAAAAATCGATGTATGCAACAATGAGTCAAAAGTTTTACTAGCAGAGAAACAATATTCCAGTGCTTGAGCAAAATTGTTTCAACCAAATCAATAGCCGAACATACTGATTGCAACATCAAAAATCGATGTATGCAACAATCAGTCAAAACGGAACAAACAACTTAATGAAACAAAGTGCAACAAAAATACAAATAATCTGCAACTTTACTAAAATTCCCAACAAAACCCATATTTGTCTTCTACTAATACGGTCGGCCGAGCGGATCGGCGAGGGAGGAAGGTTGCGCGACCGAGGCGTGCCCCGCGACAGAGATGGAGAGGTAGGGGCCCGAGGAGGCACGGGCCTGGTCGTCGTCGTTGTCGTAGAAGGAGGGGGAGCCACGGATGTGCGGCTGGCCACGCCGAAGAAGAGCCCATCAGAGTCGCTGTCGGCCTAGCCGCAGCAGGTGAGCAGTGCAGCGAGGACGGCGCCGGAGACGGAGAGCATCGCGGCGTCGGTGGGGATCATCACCGTGAGATGGGATTTTTTTTTTGGGAAGCAAAGCAGTGAGATGCAAAAGAGGATAAGGTTGTGCGAAGGATGGGTTAAATCAATGGTGGGCTCCACCGTACGTTTTTCTCCGATATTTTTCGTCCCGTCGGATGGCAGATGCAAAGCATTTTCCATGTTGCCAAATGCTTTTCGGATATGGAAATAAGTTTTCGAGTGCTTTGTTTATCAAAATCTCTATCTCTACTATTATAAAAATTGAAGACGTTTTTGCCAGTATTTTGTTACGTCATGCGTATTTGAATCGGTTTTAATTTTATGTTTCCATTTTAATCTATCTCTCTACTTAAAAAAAGAAATTTCTGTCATCTGTAGAAAAGAAAGAAAAAAAGTCTGACTCAAAAAGGTAAAAAATAAATAAATAAAAAGTCCGACTCAACAAGCGATAAAAAAAAGCTTCTGTTGTAAGTAAAAAAAACATCTCATCGTAAAAAACAATTATCCGATTCCCGTAGAAAAAGTCCGCTTGGTTTTTTTTGGCACCGGGTATTTTTTTTCCGATTTTTTGCACGCGAAAGAGTTTTTTATGCGCACACGCTAAGGTTTTTGGTTTTTTTCCGGCCTTTTTAATCTAATCTGTTCACTGTGCGCTTTTGGTTTTTTTTGTCAATTTTTTTTGCCGATTTTTTCACCCGTGCGCTTTTTTTTCATCCGGGTTTTTAATCCGATATGTTCGCCGCACGCCTTCCGACTTGAACCTAGTGACGTGTCGCCGCCATATTGATCGTGCGTTTTCTCCTCCAATTTAATTGAAAAATCAATTCCACATTTCTCTCTCATCATTTTCTCCATGATTTTCCTTTCGATTCGGCTTTAATTTATCAGATTTAATCTCCGTTTAACGCTTGCCGTTGATGACAGTGATCTTCTCCCATCGTTTTTATCCCGAGTTTTACGCTCTGATTTTGGGGAAAATGGAAAGAGTAGATCGAGTGGATCAAAAACCCTCAACCAATTCTAGCCGATCGAGAAAGATTCGGTCGGATTTAATGTGGGCCAATTTTGGCTGATCGAGAATGATTCGGCCGGATTTGGATAATTGCTCCGACAACCGTACGGGCACGGGACTATCTTCGGTACTGATTGATGTGTTTTTCCAACAAATGCTTCATGTGTCGGCATTCTTCTGTCAAATGGCCTCCTGGCTCGTAATTTTGACAAAATTTGTTGTAACATTCCTCCATGGAGTGACCACCCGGGCCATGTGTTTGACAGAATTTGCTTTGATCTTTTTGACTTTCACTTCCTCTGCCTCTTCCATTGTCATGTGTTTGGTTCTTCATAAGCTCCGATAAATCCTGCTCGAAAAGTATCTCTCATATGCTCCCACGAGTAGATTGTCATAGGAGGAATTGTTGTATACCATGACAATGCCACTCCTTCCAACATGGTCGGGAGTTCTTTGGCTTTTGTTGTATCATCTCCCCCTGCTGTTTCATACACCCTCAAGTATTCATTGGGGTCTGTATCCCCTCAGTATTTTGTAATGTTTGATAACTTGAAATTCGTTGGCCAAGGTGCCATTTGCAAGTTCTGGCTTAGAGGATTTTTAGTGTATATGGCTCTGGTTGGGTGAAAATAAGGTTGTGTGGATTGGAATTGGAAGGTTTGGTTTGGTATTTGACCTATGTATTGTATATGATTGGCCATTTTGTGGGATGTATCCTTGTTCAAGTACTATTTCCGGTTGTTGTATATGAAAAGGGGGAAAACCTTGGGAATGTTGGCTATGATTTTGAGTTGGTTGAGTGTTTAGCGCTTGCATGTGTAGGAGGTTTGGCTGGGATGTTTGAGCTTGAGGTATCTGAATTTGGGGAATTTGTATTTGTGATATATCATTCTGTGGCAATTGTATTTCTAGGATGTCACTTTGTGGGACTTGTATTTGCGGGATGCGAGATTGATTGTTCTGTACTTGAGACTGGGGGATCTGGATTTGGTTGGAATGGATTTGATGTTTTTGATTCGGAGGAATACGGATTTGATGGAATTGGGTTTGGGGATATTGTACTTGGGTGGGAATTTGGGTTTGAACGGGAATTTGTGTTTAGTGGGAATGTGTGTTTGAATAGGAAGTTTGTTTTGAAGAGAAAATTAGGTTTGAATAGGAATTTGGTTTTGAATAGGAATTTGGGTTTGAGCTGAAAATTGGGATTGAACTTGATTCTGTGTTAGGCTAAGATTTTGAGTCTGAGTTGGATTTGGAGTAATAACGGGAATTTGTCTTTGAGGTGAGTTTTGAATTTGACTGGAAACTTGAGCTTGCGGTGGATTTTGAGCTTGGGTGGCTTTGGCACTTTCTCCTCCTATGTTCTCCTTCTGGGCATTTTCTTTTGCCTCATCTGATTGATTTTCACCAGCCCTTGCTGTTGTTCCTTAATCACTTGATCCTCCTGCTCCTATCACCTGGTTGTGTAGAGCTTGCAACCTTTGTAACTCTATTTGTAATTCCTCATATTGTCCTTTACTCACCATGATAGCCCCTTGCGCTTGGACCAACTCGGCAAGTTCTACTTCACTAAGGGGTGTTTTCCCTATTTCATCCACCGTTGTGTTAGCAACTCTTTGTTCTTCACTTGCTCCATTTATCTCAGCTTGCGTGGATGTCTTGGCCATTTCTGCTCACTGCTTGTCGAGTACCTCTGTCGCTTTTGCCATATCACTCTCTTCCACCGCTTTTTCTCACTCTTTTTCAAGTGCGGTTGTTGCACTTACAAAAGCTCCTTTGTAGCATACTGGCATAGTCTTCTGTCATTGAGAACATCGCATTTACTGTTTGAGCCAAATCCAATGGAGACTTTATGTCCCCACGGACGGCGCCACTGTCGTGACTTCAGGTCACATACAAGATTAGGGATAGACCGGGAAAAAGGTACTTTCCCGCCTATCCTTGATAATGAACTTAAACAGCAAACACAACTTTTGAGGATTACTTTTCCATTAAAAATGTCCGGTCTTGCTACAGGGATTTGACTGGCTTTTATAGTCCACGGTCTCACATATGAGATTACATTTCTGCCCTCATGGGCTTTAGTGAACTTTCTATAATGTTCTTGCCATGTCAGCAACCCTAGGGGCATTATGGTACATTTTCAGGGCTATTATGGTCTTTTGGCTCCAGCTGGCAAGAGTGGCTGAGAAGTGGTCCCCACAGAATTTTTCATTCGACTTCTTTGCTCGAATAGATTTTCCCTTCGAGTTCTAGCCGAATGTCTTCTGAGTTCGGGAGCTCGCACACTCTTCACCATCTTCCCAGGTGCCAAGGTGAACCTGCCTCACTCCGTTCCTGAGTAAAAACTAATTACAAATGACAAAACAACTAGGTCATGTTCTCTTACTCGAAAACATTTTCCCAACTCGAGAAGAACATTCCAACTCGAGAGGGACTTTCCAGCTCGGGAAGAACTTTCCAACTTGAGAACATCTTCCCAACTCGAGAAAAACTTTCCAACTCGAGAAGAACTTTCCATGTTTGAGTGTTACGATTGAATAGGAGGGATGGCGATGGACCCCAACAAAGATGATAGTCAACCTCCCGGGCACGGGACTATCTTCGTTAGATTGAAGATGGTAGTCATCTTCGGTAGGTTGAAGATGGTAGTCGACTGTGCGAGTTGGACTTACGGCTCTACTTGTGGTTGGGTCGAAGGGAACCATACCAAATGGAGGAAGGTAGCGGACTAGCCTAGGGCTGAAAAGGAAGGAAAGCCTTCTGCCGAAAACCCTGGAAAGCTTTTCATTAAGTTTTTAATTTTAATCTATAGCGATCCCAATGTTAGGATTTTCATTTTCTTTTTCAATTATAATGTAAATAGTGATCCTAATATTTCTTAATATACTACTTAAAAAAACCTCTTTACCCGTGCGTTGCAACGGGCATGTTTTCTAGTTAATTAAAAGAATTTCTAATTTCTTGAATAGAGACAGTTGTACGGCAGCTAGGACCATAATCCGACTTGGCAGATTTAAAAATCCATTGAAATCACACATCAAAACTTCTTTTAAAATATGAATCTCTATCACTACTATTATAAAAATTAATAAGGTGGAGTCCGTTGTCGTCGACGGCCAGTGTCACGTACGTGGCGGATTTTCAATTTTAAAAATAAACCTTCGGTTAAAAAGGTTTAGTTAAACGTTCTAATCGATCATGATAAAAATGTTCAGTTAAACGGTCTATATATGACACCATCCTTGTAACAACCTGGCCCGACGGCGAAGCAGAGGGCCGATGCGAGAGTCGAGAGATGGCTCCCCACCGCTTCGACAGCAGCACGGTGGTCCGTGCCACGTCGCTCGCCGTCCGCAAGAAGCCGAGGATGTGCAGCAGCACGTCATCGGCGAGCGAGCTCGCTGATGTGATCAACGGCGGCGGAGCATCGTCGTCGTCATCTCGTGCATCTTCTCCGAATCCATGGGTAGTGATTGGTACGGCATATGCATCCGTTGGCAAAGCTAATCGTTTCGAATTCGAGAAGAAATTAGCTGTAATATATAACTCGATCGAGTTAGTTGATAAAACAAAGTCACAAGAAAAGATTGCCAAAATAATAATAGTAGTAAGAACACAATAACATGATAGAGCATGATTTTAGAAACTTTTAGGAAAAAATCATCCAATTTAGAGTTCATATAAGTAGGATAAACTAATTTCAAATTTTATTTTCGCAAACGGCTCCTTAAGATGCCCGCATAGAAAAATCCGGCCTCTCAAGTAGACTGCACGCAAAAATGAAATATTTTTGTGTGAAGTTCGCTTAAGAGGTCCATATGGAAAAATCGATTTTTCCATAAGGGCGTCTTAAGGAGCCGTATGCGAAAATACCGCTCGATTTTCCAGAAGATGCAAGTTATGGTCCGTTTGCAAAAATCATGGGGTCTCGTACAGAAAAAACGTTTATGTAGTAGTGTCGTGGGAAGACGTGGTACACTACTGGCGAGACCAGACCCCGTGAAGCTTCTAAGTCTAATGTTGATTTGCAAGAATCAGATTTACCAACGAGAAGAATGCTTAGTGTATCCGCGGTGGGTGAATCTTAGGAAACTTGTCTTGTCCGAACAAAAGTGATCTCTCAATATGGAGAGTTTGTTTTGGATTAATTTTCTACGGGCTTAATCGGGAAATGTTTTCATCCATCAAGGAGATATTTTAGTGTTTCTTAGATGTCATCACTTAAATAGGCCATCAAAATATTTAAAAAATTAATAACGTGAAATGTCGTGGTGGACTACGGTCAGCAGCGGTGGTGGAATGCGCGCGAAGAGGCAAGCAAACTGCGATAGAGAGGAGGCCCTCCCCCGCATGGATCCGATGGTGGGGCCCCTCTCTCTCATGGGGCCTCAATTACTGTGAGAGGTGGACTGCATCAACGACAACGGTGACAGCCCTCTCCCTCGCAAACCTAGTAGTGGGTCCTTGGTAGCAGTGGTAGGGGGATGCATGGATTCACCGTCCCTCGCCTCCCCCTCTATGTACGGATTTGGTGGTGGCAGCAAGGGGAGGCGCGCATTCGCTGTCACCGGCATCCCCCCTCCCTCACGGATTCGGCGGCGGAGGACTCCTCCCTTGTAGATCCAACGTTGGGTCCAGTGGCCTATGGTACGGCGGGCGGCTGGAGCTCGTTTTTCTGCAGTGGCGATGATGGTGGCGGCGAGCTATGGTGAGCATGTAGACGGTGGTGGTGGCGGTGACAAAGAAATTGGCTTGGGAGCTATGGTTTCGGCTGGTGGCGGGCTAGGGTTCTGGCCGGTTTGGTGTTTCTTAATTTTTAATTTGTTTTCGGGGAAAATATTTTCGCATGCGGTTGGTATAGGGGACCGCATGCGAAGATGAGATTTTCGCATGAGTTTGTGCTGGCTGTATGCAAAGACGTGCTTTTCGCAAATACCAAGGTATAGCCAGGACCGCCCAGTCCCCTGCGAAAATCAAATTTGACCTTATGCTAAAACAATTTTTGTAATAGTGAGACTATGTCAACATATTCCGTCCTGGCACCATGTACGGATAGCGTAAGGAGGGTATGCTGCATGAAAACGACGAACCATTCTCAGCAGAACCGCGATGACATGTACTCATAGTAATAAAAATGAATTTATACTTTACTTTACCCAAACCACTAATCGTGGATTGATGTTTCGCAGTTAAATTATATATTTAAAGGTGGTGGCGGGATGGTGGCACACATGCCTCTTAACAGGGCCACCTCCGAAAATATGTTTATCATACATGAAGGTCTGCTGAGAGGTCCGTCTGTGAAAATTAATTTTTACATGTGAAACTTTTAAGGAAACCGTTTACGAAAATTCAGGTCAATTTTTGTAGGTGTGAACAGAGATGGTTAACCTACATGGACCCTTGTCCAGAAAAATTGTTTTTAACTCGATTATCACCTTCCCACTTAATAATAAAAATAATAATAAGTTGCAAGTGAATAAACTAACCATGCGATTTATTTTAGTTGAATTTCTCCATGCAGCATTGATGTATGTACGTCAAGAATCGATTACTCCGTCCATTTCAAGTTACAAGACGTTTTGATTTTAGTCAAAGTCAAACAACTTCAAAAATAACTAAGTTTA